TGTATCCAATGATATGGCTACTGCAGAAGACCCCGTGTCGATAAGGGCATTAAACGGCTTGCCCCACACTTTACAATTACATTCCGCACTTTTCCATAGTACCGGCCGAGCTCATACGAAGTGATTTTTCTCTGCTAAAGAGATCGCTGCTATACGTGCGGCTTCAGGTTCGAGTTCTTTTGTGTCAGGCTCGGGCGGTACAACTTCCTCGCTTTCTTCTTTCTTCTTCAACATCCGTTGTATGCGTTGATAGGTGAAACACTTTTGATTTTTCTGGCAGTGTTGTAGAAGCTTATCATTGGCCACTTCAGATATGGTGAGCAGATGTCCCACTGGGATGGGCACGCGAATATCTAGTTGTTTGAGCGTTTTCAATACATCAATGTCTCCTGTTCGAAACTGCGGTCCAGGATTGGACTCGCGATCGACCCACTTGAGATCATCCGGGACCGATCGGATTGCTCCGATCATGCCTGCAAGATGAAGGTATTCGAGTGGATCTACTATGTCAGCAGCGTCAGAGGAGGAAGCTCCTGATGTCGACGCCAGTGTCGTCGAAGGGGAAGGCTGCTCGGGGGCATATGCCACGAGTTCTCTTCCTTGATACATATCCATCAAAGCAACCACTCGTCCTTGATTAAGGGCGACAGGGGTCGCAGCAGGGGAAGGCTGATTTCGTTTCGGCTGCGGGCAGTCCCGGGCAAAGTGTCCGGGCTGTTTGCAGTTAAAACACTCGATTTTTCCTGCTGGATTAGCTAGATGGGAAAACTGAGGGGCGAGTCCTGGAGCAGGCGGAGCAGGTAAGAGTGGAAACGATGCAGGGGCAGACCGAGCAGGAGTTGGGTTAGGCTTGATGAGCCTGCTCATTATCTGTTCCATTCGTTCCATATGGGCGGCCTGCATTTGGATCAGGTTGCCCATCCATTCGGACTGCTTGGTAGTAGCCGTATGGATCATCTGGGCAAGGTGTAGATTGGTTACGGCCGGCGAGGGGGGTTCGGATGAGGTTCCGCTTCTAACGGCTGCAATCGGTTGATTCATCGGGGGAGAGGAAGGAGAAGCAATCGGGATATGAGAAGTGATCCCACCTGGAAGGTCATGATCGGGGCGGGGGTAAAACCGTTCGACCGCCTGCAACCATGATCGCCTTTTGGCCGTTACATCCCGTATGGTATCCGTAATGTCTTCATCTCCCTGGCTGATATATTTTTTGGTATCTGTCAGATCCAGTTTCAACGCCTTAGTGATGATAGCCGATAACGGGTACGTTTTCGGCGGAACCTTTTTCTGTAATTTCCCTTTCAAGGTCGGATTTCGAAGGTGATCAATAAACAAATCTCGAGCGGATTTCTCGTCTCGCCCGGATTTATCCAACGTGGTATGAAATCGATCAACGAAATCGGGTAGCAGTTCCCCTGGTCCTTGGGGTCGATTTTTGAGTACGTACCAGGCGGCATCTTCACTGATTGTATCGAATCGAGCCAAAAAGGCCGTTTTGAAAGTAGCCCAATCTACCCATGTATGTTTTCTAAACCAGTCACGCGACGTGTTGCGGAGTAGCAATGTCGAAACGCGGGGGTGATCGGCTGCACTGTAGTTCTGAGCTTCGTCAACTTCCAGCCAAGCCTCGGGATGGGTATGGTTGGGGAAGAAGGGGAAGGGGGCAGGGATGCTAACGATCACCCTAGTACCGTCCACCATTGGTATTGTGGGTGCAGTCGCACTAGATTGAAACCTGGTTACTGGACGATCTCGACGAGCTAGTGGAGGGTCTCTCCTACCTCTCGCCAGTTCGACTTACTATCATCAGAACCGACACGTGTCGGCTCCGACACCAACCTCACGCACTGTGTTGTCTTTCGTTCGGAGTGTGATACGTGCGGAAAGAGGCCCATAAAAACAGCAAGATGGGGTGTGCCAAGGATTTTTGGAAATTGAGTATGGGGACACAGATGGAATTGAAATCCCCCGTATAGGTCCGATGAAGCAAGTCGATTAATTTCGCGCGTCGCGGAATGCGCGCGCGGACATGGCGCGAAAACAGAAAGATCCAAATTCAATCCAAAAAGTATTGTCGGGCTTCCCACCGGGCTACAACCCATCGTTTAAAACGGAAAGGCTCTGGCACGCTGTGCGTGTCTCGTTTTCGTATCAGATCTCGTCGTCGTTCGCTGGTTAGTTCCAAGTCCGATGTGGATGGTCTCAGCCGAGTGACTCTTTCCTTATGCTCGTCCTCACTCCGTATTCGGTAGTGGAAGCCCTTCGCTTCGTAGCGATCGAAACGCTGACACTCCGTACACAGACTGCGGGGCCAATGGGGCGCCACTGCCGTCCACGGAATGACGATCAGCTCGTTAAACGGCAACAATATCGAGTAGGGTGGAAAGTGCGTATCAATAATGACAAATCCGGCGTCTACGAACCCTGAACAACGGTTGGTCGGAGGGAAGTAATAGTGCCCGCCGATTTATGCGACGGTTTCTCGTACGTCACACTCACATACACGTGTCCTTTCCTCGATGTAGGGAAGGGGTCGCGTGGGGATGGGAGATACGGGAGGCTGGCGCCCAATCGAGGGGTACTTGTCAGTCCACATGTCAATCAATCACAATATCTCGAGACGTCATTAAAAACCGAAGCGATTTGCGCGACCCTCAATCAGTCATTTTGACACAAGAGCGAGAGCAAAACACACATCCGCTTGATTATGCATATGACTAAGGGACCGATTCGTGACTCAGTTCAACACAACGTTGGCGCCTTGTTTCTCAAGGCCGCCCGGTGGCTTAGCTGCTGATGTCGTGCAGCATAAGGCAGATGGCATGCGAAGTGCATTCGGAACCACATATCTAAACACTCTTGCATTTTTGGACAAAATCCCGACGACAATCGTCTAATCAACACGAAAAGAGTCACACGTTTCCATACATGCATTCACTGTGGAAGGTGCGAAAATGAGACATGCACAGGAAAAGATGGATCACATCGCACAGTACACACGCATCCACCGTTCACAAGACAAGAAGATAGGATCCTTGCATAGGAGGATTACCCAGGAAACTAATGGAAGAGTTCCGGAAGAAGTTCTTTCACACAAAAACAGAACGCCGACTCATTCCTATTCAAGAGAGGGACAATCATTCAAACGCATCATCATTCAAAAAAAGAGAGAGGGGGAGAGAGAAAGTCGAGGGAAAGAGAGTCGAAATAGAAGATGACAAGGTCCGGAAAGAGAAAAGTTCGGCGTCACCGCCGTACACTCACGCCAAGGATAACAATCCGCAACAAAGGCGCATTCGCCGTTAATTCCACTATGGCCCCGGGCCAATCACTCACTCAACTCCGATCATCGATCCTCATACCCGCACCGACGATCCCGACCGTCGTGTGCTAACTCCCACCACTGCGATCGTCACCCCGCTGTCGTAAACTCGACATGGTTCGCCCGGATCCCACAGTCCGTCGTGGCGATCAAGCGCGCAACCGGTTAGCCTATCGTCAGCCCGACAGGACTTTCCGACTCGCATCAATCCACTTTGCCTAGCCACTGCTTCCCGAAAGCTGGCTTAGGAGTCGAGAACGTAAGAGAGAGATTTGCGGACGCGCTTGCAGGTTTTATAGTTGCGACATGGGAGACAGAAGGGGGAGAAAGTGACGGGAAAGTTGAGGTGTAAGAGGAGAAGCAGGAGGAGAAAGACTTTGAGAGGAGTGCTCTACGAATGCCATGTTGATCCCTCGGAACTCAAGGTTCAACCAATCAGATTCGTCGCGCGATAGGAAGGTCCTATCGATCCACGCACCTGATTGGCGAGCAGGAGTTATCGGGGGATCGACCGGGTGTCGTACGCCAGACGTAGAGGGTGAGAAGAGAAAAGGCGCGAGAGGTGGCGCAAGACGGGTCCAAGATTCAGATGATCAAGAAAGGGAAATGGGCRCGCGAAAGCAAGGCGGGAGAGAGAGAGAGGGAGAAGGAAAAACAGTTACAGGGAGAGAGAAAAAGGAGGGAGAAGGGAAGGGAGGCGCGGAAGGGAGCGATGCGGGGGACAGAGAGGAGGAAGTTTTTGCATGTACGGCGCTGTCAACAAAAAAAGAAAAAGGCACCGAAACAGTTACAGCTTGCTTCCATCCTAATTCAAAATTGAAATCACCATATCCGCGTGCGAAAAAGCAACGCAGGGAAAAAAAATCCTACGCCTATTCGTATTCACGCAAAATTCCGAGAGTTTTCCCCGACGCGCCCAAGAACATTCACACACCCAAAAAGGACACGTCGAAGTTCCACTTATCCCAGAATTCCCAACTACCGAGCCCAATTCCCAGTGCGCTCGCTAAGGCGCACGTAAATTCCCCTGTATTTCCCGACTTTGCAAGAAGAAAAACAGAACTCAGCAGTCGAAAAAGCTCTCAAAAAGGAAAATGCGGCACCCGAAAGCAAGAACTCAAAACGGGGTTTTCCTGGGGTTGGTATGATACAAGCAAAAGAAAGGGTACGAAAAATGGCACGGGGTCGGGAAGTGGTTCGTCACAGACGCCCACGCCCACTATACCTCAGCCTTAGGGTTGAGGATCGGCCTCATGTACCTTCCTGGGCAAGCTTGGTGCCGGCCACCTAGTGATAGGCCCCTGGGCCCTCTGAGGGGCATTGAGCAGTGACTGCTGATGCTCGTAGGAGGGGGACCTGAGAGGAGGCACAGCGACTGGCCCATCGAAGAAGCTCGGTCGTGAGGAAAGTCCTACCGGAGTGTGGTGACTGTGCTGTTGCAAGGAATCTGTTCGTCAAACAAGACCGGATGCACATGCAGGGGCAAGATGATATGGCGCCTACCCCCCCTCTCCACCACTGTCTCACCAAATGTGCAAATACGGAGGATGTATGATCCGCCAGAGCGTCGACAATTACACACGCCATAGCTTTTATCTTTTTCACATTTGGTGAGTGGTCCGCCGAGGCCCACGGTGAGCGTTTAGTCAGGTTCTCATCAGTAAATGAAACTGGACGCGAATGACGTATATGTACGGGCAGGCACGATCATCCACCACGGTAGCTGCTGCCATCGATATCGACGACGACGGCGGCATAAAGTTTCACCAGCCGCGGAGAACAAGCCAGGATACGCGCGCGCTACTGCTAAGACTTTCCAGAAGGCCGTAATGACGGATGGTGGTTGGCGTATCTGACCATACCGTACGTCCAGAAACCAGCCCCAAAAAAGTCGTAATTATGAATAATGATACTGCTTGAAGCGCCTTTATGCCGCGAGAGGACATTTTGCTGCCAGCTGTCCCGAAGAGAATCAGTTGGCGGAGGGCATATGATACTCATCAGGCGGGGACTGGTCATGGCGGCGAGCAGATACATTCGCATGTGGATGTAATTCTGGTCAGATGCATGTAAAAAGTCCCTCCTACCGTGGTGTTAGTACAAGCTCAAGGAGGGAAGAAGATCCTAAAGAAATCTGCTGTTTGTTGTTCTGTATACACTACACTCTCTCTCTGCTGCCACCGCCGCTGTCTGTCGGTGCCGAGGTGGGCGCTGCTGTACGGATGCTGTCGTCGGCGGGCGCTGTTCTACGGTTAGCGCGCCACCATAGCTTCAAAAGCTTGATCGATCGAAATCAGGTCTCTGTCTTCATTCTGTCTAGAATGGTGGCTGTGGCGTGGACGTCAGTTGTAGGCATCTCCCTTACTCGAGGCGCATTTGGCGCGCAGGCGACGTCGATCTCCGCTGCTCGCGCCATGACCTCATCTTCTCCTCCATCGCCATCGCCATCGCCATCGCCGTTTTCTCCTGCCATGAACGTGAATCGGACCCCATTAAAGCCTTGCTGTATGAACCCTCGCACAGGCTTTTATAGAAATGGGTTCTGCGAGACGGGTGCTCAAGACTTCGGCACTCACACTGTTTGTGCGCAAGTAACTAGAGAGTTCCTTGAATATACACGTTCTCTAGGTAACGACCTGATGACTCCGCGGCCCGAGTACTCTTTCCCCGGACTCAAGCCGGGGGACAAGTGGTGTCTGTGTGCATCGCGATGGCGGGAAGCTATGGCCGCCGGGGTGGCGCCGCCAGTCGATCTCGACGCAACGCACGCGAGGACTCTCGAGTATGTGACGAAAGCTGAGCTGGAGGCGCACTCGGTTTCTCTTGCCGCCAAGACGTCGGCGTCGACGGGCGCTGCGCCACGTGGCGGCGCGGCGGCGGGATCCCAGCAGCCTGGATTCTTGGACGGCGATGGCCGGCGAACCGATCTCCTAGATGATGCCGACGGTCCCGATCGCTTCGGTACGGTAATCAGGCGGGACTGAGTGTCAGCGTGCGTGACGGCTGGGATCCCAGCCGCCGAGCAATGGTGGCCGTCCCGACTTGTTGGCAGATCTAAGCTGAGCTGGAAGCGCATTCCGTCTGCAGTCGTCGTCGTCGTCGTCGGTTGGCGCTGCGCCACGTGGCGGTGCGACGGGATCCCAGCAGCCTGGCGCCTTTGGACGGCGATGGCCGGGGAACCGATCTCCTATAGATGATGCCGACGGTCCCGATCGCTCCGGTACGGTAATCAGGCGGGACTGAGTGTCAGCGTGCGTGAAGGCTGGGATCCCAGCCGCCGAGCAAATGGCGGTGGTCCCAACTGACCGATCTCTTTTGGCTGGCGATGGCCGACGGACAGTTGTGGGAGCAGCAGTTCCTGCAGCAGACAGGCGTTCTGACATTGCAGGTTTCTTACTGATTGATTATGGGAATGGTTGATGACAACCATGAGCCGCGTGGAACGTACCTTACCTCGACAGACGGCCAGGTGCAGGCCATGCACCTTGGCGCACCGTGAAGGCAAGAGCAGTTTTAAACGCCCTATTTGCCGCGCCAAATGTTTCCGCCGCTGTGGGTTATCTGTGTCATCTTCTCCATTAATTGTTACTGTACTATATCGGCTATGAAAGGTAAACGAACACGATGTGTATAATCAATCCTGTGTGCTAATCAGGGGACTTGAATCCGCGATCCCGGCAGCCATGGTGTGAAGGCCACAGAGAGAGAGATAGAGAGAAAGAGAGAAAGAGAGAGAGAAAGGACGTGGGGGAAGACGGGAGAGTGCGGGGAGAGAGAGAGAGAGAGAGAGAGAGAGAGAGAGAGAGAGATAGAGAGAGATGGGGAAACAGTCGACGAGGCTTTCACTTTGGAGGGACTGAAGACGACGTGGCGAAAGCTGAGGTACGTGTCCAGACTGACGTGGATCTCTGTTGCCTCGTCAGTCTCGCTCCTGCCACGTGTCTTCTTCCAGATGACCCCACGTCCTTGCAGGTAGGTAGGTGGTTTTTGATCTGCTGCGCATTGCTCACGCGGACGTCTGACAACGACCCCGGAGTGAAGTCTTCTGCTTTGTCATCGCTTTTTTATTTTTTAATAACCTTTTTTTATCTTTATTATTATTTAATATAACCTTTTCGTCAACTCAGGACTCTTCCCTTACATGATGTACGTTCTTGTCACTTTCAGCCTTCCGTCTT